ATTAAAGGACGAGTGGCAGGTGGAAAAGTGCCGAAAAAGTCCTATGAAGACAAAAGTGAACTACTTCGGAGCTTAGAACCTTGCATACCGTGTAGTGTATGCATATTTTTATACTGCGGATCCCTGCTCGCGTTCTGCGTGTCTGCCTACGTGCTTCAGTTTCAGGCTTTAATACTGTCACAGTATGAGAATTGGCCATTTTCGCGAAAGCCGGTATGAATAGTAAAGGCCTGTACAGAATTATATAAAGCATGCAACTTTTACTGGATGAACTCTTAAAGAATACCTTAAGCGCATTATTTAAATGCATCTTAGGAAAACAGGGTGGGGAGTGTGGACTGGGACTGGTGGCGTGCTCTTGAGAGGACGGTAATAAATCTTCGGGTTTCATAAAACGCAGAAAATTTCGTTGACTGTTGCTGAGAGCAGCCAATTATCAGCTTCTCACGCATTCAGGTCCTGAAGTTAGTTTATGTGTGTGAACATGGCAATCGAAAGTAAAGTTCTAGTACGATAACTGTGACCTAAGACGCGATATCTGTGTCAGTATTAGGCTACTAAGCGACATATCTTGTTTATAAAATGACATGTTTTAAAATTTGTTTACTCCCAGACCCAACTGATGTCCATGACACTTGTAACCTTTGCATATAGCGCCAAGATATCGATCTCTCTCGATATGCGTGTCATTCGACCAGAATGGTGACGCAAAAACTCTGAAGAGAAATATCTCATAATTGGATTACATGATTCGTACCGCAGAGTACAAATTTAATCCATATTTAGACCGGGGACCCTTCTGGTGCATGCAGCCCCACTGTGTCATTATCTAATGGAATGCTCTCCGCTGCAGGGAAGAAGCCAGGGGGATGGAAATCAATGTTTTATACGCTGGCTGATGCTAGTATAAAGATAAAAAGGGGACGACGGACCTCAGCGGAGGGGCGCAGATATGTGGGTAGATCCCGTAGGCACTTAGTGCAAAGTTTGTACTGGCAACCTTGGTCCGGTTAGCAACGACATGTCAACTAAGCACACTGTGGCTTTTCATTTCGAAATTATATGCGAGGAAGCATTGATGGTGTCAGGTTTCTCATTATAAGGTACTGAAACGATGCCGGTATGTCCTTACGTTTCTGCTTGCTGATTGCTTCTGCAACCCGCTTGTCAAAGTTGCTGGACTACCTTAGGTTTCTAACAGCTTCTACTGATACAGACATTAATAAAGGGTCTTCATTGACTGTAAACTTATATTATCATCATAAAACTTTAGAAGGATTTCATGAATACTTCAACCAGTGTCAGTGATAGGGTGAAAGAAAGAAAACAGTTAACTGAAACATCAGAACAGTAAAATAAATAAGCAAAAGGCGCGTACTAAATACCAGATGTGCCATGTTAGGGGGAAAGTTCATAAGAAGGTGCACGACCGAAACTCCGATTACGTTGTATTAGCTCCGTCACCAGTCTCTCGTGGGGCAACATAGAAGTGATTAGAATGTATGAGAAATGCGATGAGATTCAGGGAGAAGTGGAGAACATCATCATTTATAGATCAGCGGCAGACGATACCAGTGTCTTCACGCCCTGCAAATCTAAGCAAACGCTACAATAGTCAGAGCGATTACAGAAAATATCGTCGTTTACCAATAAGAAGGCTGGCGTTAAACCCTGCATTCCTTGTCTCTCCCATGCACGCTACATGTCCTGTCCATCTCATCCTCCTTGACTCGAGTAACTCTCAAAGTAAACAGCGATTATTTCCCAAACACCATTAATCAATATAGTGATTTTTGGAATACAGATGCGTTAAGTTTCCTTTTAAGTAGGAACTGGTCTTGTATATCTTACCGAAAATATCCGAAATCTGTCTAAACTACGAGTTCGTCTGGGCAAAACAAAAATAAGTAATTACTACTGAAACGTAACGTATCGTAGCAGTGGCTATTGATGTTTCTGTACCATCTAGGTCACAACACATCACTTAGTTAAAAAAAAGTCGTAGTTAGGCAACGTTACGTTAGGTTTCAGTAAAAATAATTTATTCGAGTTCTGCCTAGGGCAACTAGTTTAAGTTGTAAGAAGAATGGATACTGGAAAAACAGGTTGTGCGGATAAGAGGTGAACAAAGGCGACTGAGAATCGTGTCCAATGGCGGGAATCCGTGACGGTTCTGCTGCCAGAAGCTGGTTTCATTGTGGTAGGGGATGCTTCAGAATTTTAGCTAATTTCATATTAGTCCGTATCCTTCATCAACTATGTAAACCCCATTACACGATAAGTGTCAGTATAATACTGCGGCTGTAACAGGTTAAATGCAGTAATAATTACAAGAGTTTTCCAAGTTCTCTTCGACGGTCGCAGAATCACCGAAAGCATCTCATTCTGAACTAATGTGCAGCCTCCACAACTAGAGGCTGCTACAGGAGCCATGACTTTTTCGGGAAGGGAGCAGCAGAGGCGGAGAGGGCTAATTGGAAATCGATATCGAACCGGTAAAGCTCACACCCTACAAGATTAGGGGGAGGGTGTATATGAAAGAATATTTTGTTAGAAGCTGCCGGTCATGCAAAACAAGGAAACTGCATTTTCATTATCCACAACCCGAGAAACCTTGACCCCGGCAAACAGTGGCCGCATCTAATGAGCCGAAGAATCAAAAAGGATCCGGAAACACGGCACGGGGCATATTCTGTGGACTGGATCATCAAAATATATTATCGTCTGTAATATGGCGTAACGAGCACCATTAAAATTTTAGTGTACTCCAAAGCAAACACCTTTCCGATCTTGTTCACAGAAATTTCGTACTTAGAAGGGCAAGTGACTGACTAAGGTACTACAGAGCTGCGGTTAGATTCATCACCATTTTGTACAGATCAACTCTAATCAATCCTGCTTCATACAGGCCAACGATGGGTGTTTGGGTCTCGACCCTCGTGGGTAAAACAGTCGAGACATAATGCTGATCGTTCACTCCTAAATCCAGTGCCGAGATTAAGAATGCGTGAAGGTGAGACACAGGGAAGATTTCCTTATATTTGGCTTATTATTCACGTAGGACGTTTATCTCTGGATGACAGAATTATGTGACCACAAGATGCAGGCTTGGAGGATCCTACCGACGCGCATCATCAGTTCAGATTTAAAATGAGAGAGCAATTAACGTGACGAACTAGGCGAGTTCAAAGACTGAGTACAATCTTGGGGCTTAGTAAGTCCCGCAGACGGAATTAAGATCATCGCTGAGACTGGAACGGAAACCAGTGTACAGACTTTACAAGCTCAGAAGCGGGAGGTCGGAGAGAGCATGTGCGAGACGAACAATTTTAAGAATAACTGTTCCACATTTTATCTCAGCCAAGAATTTTCAGTTTTTTCTACAAATGAAAGTCACAGGAGGCATAAAATTGGGTTTAAAGGAATATAAATTGTGATGATCAATATTTTTAGTTCTCTGGGATGTATTGGATTGAACTCCTCTATCTTGAAATCATTTTTAAATTAAATTAACTTTATTCACTCAGGCATCCTTTTTAAACACACAGTCATACATGACAAGCCATTAGAACAGGATCATAAAGAGATCGCAAGCAAACCAATTAAGAATTTTCAAACATTTTGAAATTCGAATTCTGTGAAATTGTAAGGTGCCAAGGTCTAGTAAAACTCCGTTATAAGCACATAAACATTTTAAATTTACGAACGGATGGTTTAACTCTTGGGTGGATATATATGTCCCCTGATTAAATATCGGACATAAGTATTATAGACTCTAAATGACCAGAATTCAAGAACCTAAGCACAGACAGGATAACCTTGAAACCACCTACATATTATTCAACTCCCTCAGACTTCAAGAAAAGTAACATGACTGTTTCATGATCATGAAAGGCGAGAATAACAGCAGTTTATGGTCTTTTAGCAGTTTTATATGGTAATATAATAAAAAGTAATACATGCTACTTTTATTAATAGAAGCCTGCTTTTTACGACAAAACTATTTTGGCTTGGTATTAATGAATGATAATAATGATAGACCTACCTCCTTGTGGTGCACCCTGGGCAACGTCTCTAACGGCAAAGTGGTCTACAAACTTGGCAAAAAATGGTCAAAGATGAAATTCTATGTACCTGCCATTTGATATAAATAAATAAATAACATGGCATAAAAAATGCCTATGATCAAGTGAATGCATCTATCATTCAACCAGTGCCATTAGAAACACACAAGAAACAATTCTTCGGAACCCTAAATCGTCTACGCCGACGGCCAGTGATTTCAGTCCATGAATGAAATTCATTCCGATTGCCCAAGGGTCGCGGAATCAGCTCGAGAAAGTGCAACAAATTCCCGTGCAACTTCAGTGTAGATTCGTATCGATCGCTGTTTCAGTGATTAAGTGCTAAAACTTCTTTCAACAGCCCGGGATATTGTTGTGCCATTGAACTATTCAATGGTGCTGCCTCAACAAAGAAAGTAGTAATTTCTAAAGAAAATATATCGACACTCTTGTAAGGCTTTTCTTCGGTATTCGATTTTCGTGGAAGGTGCCCGAACGATACCGTCTGATGTCAACGGAAGTTGGCCATTATTTCAGAGAATACAAAAGAAAATCGGCCATCTCTGAAATGCAGAGTGTGTGTGGGGTGTGTTCAGAAACTGCCTCGTTGCACAACTCCATCTTGATCAGTAGTTCTGTGCCCTGACATAAAAAAGTACACATCCTTGTTCATGACGTGCAACCATTCTTTTCTATTTTTGTTTCCCACGTCCTGCCCAAGAATTTCTGTTGAAGATGAAGAATAACGCGCATAAAAACCGTTATCTAATTCTCTTCACGCAGGTTACTTCACTTGGAATTCAAGAAGTCCCAAGTTCCCTCATCGCTTGGCGTGCAAATACTTTTCGACTTCAGTCAGAGGGAGATGCATAGTTTCACACCTCTGCAAGGATCTAATAATATCAGTACGTTATATTAAATTACTATTTCACTCACCATCCTGTTTAACGGCTTGCCGCGGTGGCGCCAGTAACAGAGTGGTGGCGAGCAGAAAGACTGCCAGCCTCAGCAGCATGGCGGCACGTTCTCACACATCAAGACAACTGAAACACAAGAGCACTAGATTTGATTTCAATGTCGCCAGACACACACACGCTTAAAGTCTCAGACTACTTCGAGCCACCAAGAAATCCACGTTCTGTGGGAAAACGGCAGCGAAATATAACAATAATATTCTGGAAAAACTTATGGAGTTTATATGGTTTGGTCAAAATCCGTACGCAAACACCTTGGTCAGATTCTGTACATTATTCCCACTAACCTCACATGTTTATAATTTTTGAGGAATAACGACAATATATAATACAGAAATCGTGTGTTTATGATCTGTGTTCATGTGCAGCTGATACCCACTGAGCAGTCGACTGTATACTTGTTTCGAAAACAGCATAAATGGGGGGGGGGGGCGGTTGTGAAGAAATTGGAAAAGAATAGAGGAAGGAAATACAGATAAAAGTTCAGAAGAAAGCGAGAAAGTATAACAGGAAAATTACAAGAAAAAGCCCTTGCGTACAATTTCAGCACTAGGAATAACCGATCACACTGTTCGCATAAAACAACGACGGTTCAGAAACCTGTTTGGAGCTTCTGATTCCCAAGACCTAAACCCCATAATATAGTATGTTAAAAGATAAAGCTGCTCCTGTGTCTAAGCACCATGCCCATGCCACTGTGGCATATGTAGGAGTGTAAATAAAGCTCCACGCGTTCTACAATACGGTACTAAAAGGCTGCTTTATCCCCTGGGAAAACGCCCCTGGACCAACAAGAATGAGCAATACTAAATAACTGAGGGGAAAAAGAAGAGTGATTCAGAAAAAAATATAAAAATACTGAAAAAGACAACGAAGAACAAAGGGAGACAGAAGAGGACTTTCAAAAAGATTAACATTAAAATAAAGAGGCAAATGAAAGAAAAGAAAGGGAATGCAAAGACAAGAAAAATAAGCGGACAGTAAAGAAAAGGAACAAGGAAATAAAGGGAGACTTGGTATTTATTTATGATTGCGCCCCGGTCCAACATTACTGAGTCGCTGCGTTAATCCTGCAACCCAGTTCACAACACGACGAAACGGAGAATTACAGCAACCATGGGGATAATGATGTTCCAAGTTTCCACATCGCCAGAGTTCGAGCCCAGCATTAAGAATTGTATCTCTGAAGGTGAGTTTGTACGATGTAAACACGCCCCAAACATCTTGCGACAATGAAATATCTCAAGTCCATTTCAATTTAAGATCTGCCGCAAACAAAAAATTGTCGGCTATATCATTCATCAGACCAAGAGATTAAGGCGGGAACAAGCTAAAAAGACAAGGGCAAAATAATTTTAACTGAATATAACTGGATAATGATGCTGTTATTATAACGGTTCTAAGTCCCTATAAACCACAGGGATGAGCCATAAGTAGAACCACATAAATAGGAACTATTTTAGCTGACCACGAATGTCCCATATGGTATAACCCAAAGGTTTAACACCGTTAATGTAAGACCAATCATGAAACCAGATTCTGGGGCAAGGATAGTTGATCCACTTCACATTTTCTTAAACTACTTTCTCTAAATCCTCCATTTTAATATTATCTGCTTGTATTTCTTGTTTCTCATATTCCTGTTATATATCCAATCTATCGTAAAGACGAAAAAAAATCACGTCTAACAATCACTCAATACAACACAGAAAACTTTATCTCGTTAAATCTTTTGTGGTTCTGAAACTTTTCTGTTTCACGGACAGCTAAAGGAACAAAGGATTTTGCGAGAAACAATACATTGTACACTACAACAGTAATCAAATCATATATATATATATATATATATATAAACTCATTTATTTTAGCTACAATACAAAAATTAACGCCTTTATGTGGTATTATATAGAAGAGATATAATCCATACTAAACATTCGCAATTAAAAATTATGCACAAGCGCATATTAAATAATATCTCAGACATAAACTACCAGCGTACTGATTTCCACTTTCCGAAGGCTACAGCGACTGATCCCTAAAATTCCACGCAATCCCTCTCACCATTCGGCCGGTCATACTAAGTGGCAGAAAACGGGAAGAGGGAACAAATCAGTTAGTGTTCACCACAAAGTGTTCAGTGGCTAAAATTAGGCGAAAAACAAGAAAATATCAGGTTTTAAAACAGCAATAACCTATCCATGTCCTAAAATCTCGGGTGATCAGTCAGCGTCAAAGCTGGACTAAAAACCGACGTTTCGGAGAACTGCTATCTGTCAAAAGGGTCGATAACAAGACTTACATAACCTGTATCTAGCTGTAAAATAAACACATGAATACACAACGTTAACCAGTACTTGCTATTAATTAAACGTCTAGTGTGTCCAATAGCAATTCATGGTGGAACTTGGGAGTTGAACCTGGCAGTTAAGTAGAAAAGAATATAAAGCTGTCCCGCTACACGTCACACAGGCGGTTAGGGGGAGAGAAAGTATTAATTATTAAGCTGTCGTCTAGTGGCTTCTTGCCTATTAATTAAGAAAGTATTCTGCTACAAAGTTCCTTGTAACGATTACAATGCGGGAAGCATAATTTAATATAGGGGCTGTCCCAACCGTGAGCTTGCGGCCGGCTCCCCGTTTAATGGGATTGATGCAGTGCCCCTGCGGCTTCTGACGCAGCCAGGGAAACGGCAGTCAAAACACGGGTACTGGTTGGCTGCTGCATCACTTGCTCAGGTTTGAAACAAATGACGCACAAACTAGCGACCAGGCGTTTTCCGCTCGTGATCCATTATAAGGAATTTTTCTGGCATTTGCCTGGAAGAAATGAAATGGCACGTCGTCTCAGAATAACCGGGATATGAATATGTCAGGCGCGTTAACGCTGATTTTACCGTCTTGTCCAGACCCCAACATGCAAATGGCATTTAAGGACTCGTACAAAACCAAACCTTGAAAATGGCAGTAAGTAGTGAAACGTCCATCAGTGTAATCTGTTTTCGAATGAAGAGCCTGACAATAAACGTATAGTTCATTCATGAGGCAGTTTTATTGCTAGCGTCAGGATACTATTCTCATCGTCTATCTCCGCTCTACCACACCATATCCGAACGTGCAGTATGCACAGAAGCCATAGCAGCTTGCCTGTGTCATAGCGGTAAATTCTGCCACGTCTACGATTAATGAAGCCCTGGGAACAAAAGTGGGTTAAAGGTTACTCCGAGTAAAGGTATTCGTGGTTGTCCTCAGTCTTACCATACGAATGCCAGGACAGTACTTTGAAAAAGGCCAAACCCTTACGTGCCCGAACTCATCATTCACAAATATCTTCTCATCTAATTCGATATTATGCAGCATCTACAGTGTAAGTAAATACCCTAAGGATTAATATAGATGCATAAATAGAGCAAAGCAGTTGTGAATGTTTGTACAGGAACCGCCACTGGAGACGTGTCTTAAAATAAATTAATTTTACTGCACTTGTGGGCACACTGAAACATATAGGCCAGTAACGTATTAGAACATTTACCCCGCACATAATCCAGTGCTCAGTTGTCAGATCTTCCCCTAGGCTCTCCCCCTCGTGATAGGGGGCCCTTGGGAGAGGGGGGCATAGGGCACCATCATGCATTTGCTTTGAATCCCGCATTGGAACACTGCACTCCGGTTACCCTGTTATCAGGAAGGTGAAGCGAGAACACGGACAAACCAAGAAACCCAACCATTAACAGACTAAATGGCTTGTAGTAGGCGTCGTGCCATTGGTGAGGTCGAAGGCTTGGGTTCAGTTCCAGGATAACTTCAGAACAGGTTGGCACTGTGGGCAGGTTCTTGGGTTTTCACCAACGCTCCAAACTTATCCATCCCCGTTCCTGAGGTGCGACAGGTCGGACCAGGCGGCACGTCAACCTAGCCTTGGTCCACGGTTAGAGTTTCACTCCTTAAACCGACACCAGGCTAGATTTCATAATGATAAACCCAAGTTGGCCTTGTCACAGTTATCGATATATATCGAAGAACAAAATCTGCGATGATGTAACGTTAAATGTATTTCCCAAGTCTCTATGAATAAAACATTTTGTTTGATTCACTGTATTTATGATTGACGACTTCTGAAACTCATTATAGTATAGCAGAACAACGCCACTAGAAATAGGTATGTCAAAACTATGGACCATTCCTTCAGTATCTCAGATTATACAGGTGGAATGAGAGGATGATAGTGAATAATGAACTGTAAAGGATGTAGAAGGAAAAGTTGGTGACCTAATTTAAGGTACCATCCCGGCATTTACTTGGAGGGACTGAGGAGAACCACGAGAAACCCGTCATGATAACCGGTCTCCGAGCCGAGATTTAAACCAGGTGTTAAGCAGACACAGTCTTCCGAATACATAAATCGATAAATTCTGATGCTGGTATGTTGGCAACAATTTATCTTCTTATAAAACTCTTTTGTCCAATGTTAATGACGTTTTAGGATATTGCAGAACAGTGAAATGTGTGATTTGTGCAGCTCACATAAAACTGCCAGGGTAGAGAAAATACGGAGTTTCCATGACATGGATACACAGAATAAACGAAAAAAGTATGAGAATTTTATTGGGGTAACCTCTTTGAAATCAGACTATTAAAAGGCCCAACTGAGACGGGGCGATAATATCATAACGTGTTACAAATATTTAGGTTGTGGTAATGTGTAGTGCATGCAGATATCTCAGAGTCGTGTCAAATAGTGGACTTTTAACAATTTCTACTTCCGATCAGACTGAGACGTAAGTCAGCCACTATCTCCGACAACTGTACTACTGATACACTGACAAGTCTTTTGCAGACGATATTTTTGGAACGTTCTGTATATTCACTTCGGCAGCTAATTTATTCAGTGTATGATGTGTTCGGAAGGGTCTGTACATTCAGCCCTGCTATAGTTACGGAATGGCCGGTGATTCGTCTATTGATTGCTCACTCACAGTAGCGCCTGCCGACTAGCAACCCTCTCAACTAACCCAGACCACGGCAAAAAGTAAATCCCTGAAGAATTGAGCATGAACATATTTGTGGCCTTCT